TAAATAGAGATTAAAAATTACAAAATATGTTTAGATTTTTAGATGACTACAAGTGAGCATATATAAGATAATATTGAACGCGTTGAAGTGTGCGCTGATCAACGCTCACTAATACCTATAATCATACGCACCATAACTCATGGACACATGACCATTACATAATCTTATATAATGAATCATATTTAAACCCTTGTTATCTCAAATATTACTGCTTAAAATAAAAATTTACAAATTATTATTTTTTTTTTTTAGAACTCTTGTTATATTTTGAGTCGCGAATTTTGAGACATTCTAAATAACAAAATATCATAAATATAAAATAAGTTAAAACACATAAAAATATTACAAACAATATTTTTATTATATTCGTTTGCTATATATTTATTTTAAAGAAAAAATATATTCTTCATCAATTCAATTTCGATAAATAGTGATACATAAGTACTAGACTATTTACTTTAATATCCATAAGTGCCTGATTAAAATTACAAAGATGCGCTATCTTTATTCTTCGATATAACCCATGCAATCAACTAATCAATAAAGAAACAGTTTGAAATTATGTGAGCGATGATCGCGAATATTCGAACAATTTTAAAGCCATTTTTAATGATCAGTTACATGTTAGGTTTGAGAATTGACAATTCATCTACTTATTCAAGATTATGGTTTAATGTTCTATATATGATACTAGTTTGATCAATTTACTGTTTCCTCTTAACATCTGCATTAATATCGTCTTTTAATAAGTTTATTCTTATCGAGGAGCACATTTGCAAACGAGTAGAAATTATCACGACTTTATTGTCAATCATATTTGGTACATATCACGATAAGGTAAGGAGATATTAAAATATATATAGTGGGAAGAAAATTAAATTAATATTATAAATTGTAATACATGCAATTATTAATAATTAGCAATTTCGAATACATGCAATTATAACAGATAGAAAATATATAAGACTTATAATTAAAAAGTTATACGTTTACTCTCTCTCTCTCCCCTCCTCCTCCTCCCCCTCCCCCTCTCTTCCCTCCTTTCCTCTCTCTCCCCCCTCTCCCTCTTCCCCTCTCCCCCCCCCTCTCACTCCCACACCCCCTTATTTTTGTGATAGAAATTCCAAAACTGTTTGAAAAAAATTAATATTATCGACAACACATTGCTTAAGTTAGGAAAAATGACAGATTATGACAAACTAAATACATAAAACAACAATATGGTTTATCTTAGAATAGTTTATAATAATTATATTAACGGTTTGCAGTACAGTATTATATGTGAAAGATAGATATAACATAATTTTGCAACAATCACGTTTTATATCTTTATTCGAAACTTTGTCGATGATTTGACTACTGCAAGTATTCTCGTTGGTATATCCTTTTTTTACATATACCATTATATCCTTACCTTAAGCGTTGTTATTTATGAATAATAATAAAATTACATTATAATACATAAAATTTTATAATTACTAAAGTATTTTTAAAAATTTCTATACAATATAGTAAATATTTGCAAATAACGATATATTTTATTTATATTTAGATACCCAGGATTAAAATTTGATCAAGTTAATAAACATCTTCATAACTTAATAAAAAATAATAAACATAAAATAAAACGAGCTTGGGAAAATTCTATGATAAATTCTCACCAACACAGAAATCACTGAATAACAAGTGCATAACGTAGATCGTTATGTAAGACGTTTTATATAAATTATATTGTATCATAAAATGTTAAAATCACAAAAAAATAATATTTATAATTAGTATATACATGGAATATATAAAACTTTATATTTATATATATATATACATAGACATCATCTACACTTAGAATTGCGCAAAAATATCCCATGAAATAAATTCAGTGTTTGAAATACAAATGTACAATATTCTTTATTATGTTTTTATATCGATTTCATATTTCCGCAATTCTGTTTATGTAAAAAGAATTATTCTTTGTATACAGTTTTTATATAATTAATTAAATAATATAATTTTTATTATAACAAAAAACAATTTTTGTAATTACATTATTTATGATATGTGTATATAATCTATTTGTTACAGCTGTAATTGTGATTAAAATATATCTGTGCTATTTGAAAATATGGTTACGTTGCATCATTATATAAATGCTCCGATTAAGAAAAGAGAAAATGAAAATATCGAGAATTATATTCATATTACATATATGAATATATTTGTTCATACGTGAAGAAGTACTTTATTTGTTATCTGCTTTAATCGTGTTACATAAATTATAATAGATTGATTATCTAATATTCATAAGTATCTTAATAGAAATTACAAACATCGCGTAGCTTTACTGTTGCATATATAAAGTCAGTAAAAAACGAACAGTTTGAAATAACAACGGTATGCACAATGAATAGAAGTATTCAGACAATTTTAATGCCACTCCTGATGATTAGTTACATTTTTAGTTTAAGACTCACCAATCTACCTCTACGTCACGCGAAATTATGGTTTAGTCTCTTATATATGCTGACAGTTTGGATAATTTATTATTTTCTTTTAATGGCAATATTAATACCTTATCTTAAATTTTATACCAGTACCGAGTATCATATTTGCTATTTGCTGGAATTGTTTACAACCTTGTTATCGATCGTGTTTGGAATATATCATAATGAGGTAAGTAGATATAATATTTTCAATTATCAGCAATAATTATAAATGCATATCTACATAACTACAATACTCAAAATAATTATAAATTTTTTAACTTTTGACATTTAATGATGTATGAAAACATAAAGATAATCTGCAAACACTACGTAGATTCTTTTAAATTTATTATTATTTGATATATCGTCATAGTAGAAAGAAATTACATTAAAAAATTCTTATTGTTTAAATTACATTAAATCATAAAGTCTTTCTGTGCATATTATTTTGCATTTTTTACATTAAATTTTTTTCTGCATATGTCACTAATGCATTTATGTATTAATATTATATTAATTTAGTATATACAGATATAAATTAATTATACAATAATGACTAAAAATGCAATAAAGATATTATTAGATGTATAAGCTGCAATAACGTTGTCAAATTTTCAGATAAATAATAATATTATTCATTTATTTCATCTATTCTACTTGCATCTTCCTGACAGAAATTTAAAAACTGCTTGAAAAAGCTCGATATTGTCGACAATACACTGCATAAACTTGGAATAGTGACAAATTATGACAAACTACATGCAAAAATACTATGGCTTGTCTTAGGATGGTCCATGATAGTTATATTAATGAATTGTAGCTCAGCATTATTTTTAAAAGTTGAACACAATTGTGACATTGTAACAGCTATGCTTTTTATCTTTTTACTATACTACTCTTTTCACATTAACGTTGTCGATGATTTGACTAATGCAAGTATTCTTGGGTTAGTATCTTTTTACATATACGGTTTATATATACGGTTCATAATATGTTTATAATACTTTATAATACAATTATATGTGTAATACAATTAAATTATCATTCATAAATATCTCACAATTTTTAAAGTGTGTTTTTAAAATTTTCGATACAATATACTTGCTATTTGTAAATAACGATTTTATATTCAATGACTCTTTATATTAAGATACATAGGATTGAAGTTTGATCAAGTCAATGAACTCATTCAGAATTTAATAAAAAATAATAAACATGCAATAAAACCAGCTTGGGAAAATTCCATGATACATTTTTATCGACGAAGATTTTTGGAGACTCCTAGAAATGACTACATCATATGGATAATTTTGTAAGACAATTTTATTAATTTAGATAAGTTCTAATAATTACAGCAATTTTATCTTGTGTAATTTTATTTTGGTACTACAGACATCTTCATTTAGAATTACGCAAACTATCCCGAGAGGTGGACTCAATATTTGGAACACAAATGACTTTTAAAATGGCATGTTATTTTAATTGGATAGTGATTGACTTACGTATAATTTTCTCCGCAATACTTACTGATAATTACGTAAAATCTAATAATATACTGTGTGCAGTTCTATATTTATTCTTGCTTTTTCATAACGTTAGCAAATTTCTACTCATCAATTATGTGTGCGAAATAGTCAGCACCAAGGTATTCATTTTAACTTAAACTTTTTAAATGTTAATTTAAAATTTATTTTTAATAAAAAATACTAGTAATATCTTTAAATTCCTAAATTAGAAGTAACTTCAATTTTATTTAACATATTCCAATTTTAGGCTGATGCAACAAGATATTTATTAAATAAATTATCATATTCTACTTTTGACGTTGAAGTTCGTGAAATCGTAAGTCTTAAAATAAGTTTACTAAATTTTATTAAAAGAAACATTAAATGTCAAATTTAGTACAAACACTAATAAAATACGGATTAATAGTAATGTTTTGTAATAATACAGATTTCACAATTTTCATTACAAATGACTTATAAGCCTCTTAGATTCTATGGAATTGGATTTTTCCAATTTGGCTCCAAATTTCTTTACAGGGTATGTTATATTTATTATCTAATTGCATACTAGAAATAATAAATCATAATAAATATTTAAGATGAAAATTTATATATGTTATCTTTATTTTTAGTTTATCATGTCTATCGCGACCGTTTTAGTTATTGTAATACAAGCGCACGTAAATAAGTAATTAATTTAACAAAACATAACAGTAATTCATAAAAAATATTTTTAATAATAAGCAATTTATATGGTCTAATTTATGTTACACAATTTTCTTCTATGTATCATAGATATGATTTGATATCCCAATCTTGAAATTATAAGAAAAAATTAATAATTGAAAAAGATTAATTACAATAACATCTGTCTATAAAGAATTTTCCTATATAATTGAATTCTATACCTTTCTACAATTCTTTCATTTTTAGAATCATTCCTTATATAATTTTTTATGTAACCTAATAAAATAACATGATTTTTACTGAAACAAAAACAATGCTTTAATATTTAATTATAATATTTATGTGTAATCTATTATAATTATATATATAGTAATAATATAATAATTATAACTGTGACTAAAATCTATCACATAATGTTTAATAATATTTTAAAATCCTGCTATAGCACTGCAAATGTCTAAATTACAAAATAAAGTATATTCAAACAATATTTTTTGTATTTTTATTATAAAGATATATGTATTTTATGAAAGACAGACAGGTACAATACTCTACATTCTATTTCGCTCGATAGATCACGTAAACTTTTATGGATTGATTACTTTAATATCCATAAAATGCCTTAATAAAAATTAAAAAACTTTATTATTATCATGCTACTATATGTATACAATTATCTTGTCAAAATTGCAGTTTAGATGGAAATATAACTGTACAATGACTAAAAGTATTCAAACAATTTTAACATCACCTAATAATAATCAGTTATGTATTTAGTTTAAGAATTGCGAGTTTATGTAAAAATTACTTAAAATGGTAGTTCAGTCTTTTTATAGATTGCTCATTTAGTCGATTTATTATTATCTTTTGACATCAGCACTTTAATATCTTCTTTTAATAAATAAAATTCCATTGAGTACTATATGTGTTATTCGCTAGAATTGTTTATCTTACTAATACATTCTTATTAACAATCGTGTTTGTTATATCATGATATGGTAAGAAGGTAGTAATATCATGATAAGGTAAGTAGAGATGTTATTATTAATAATATATGTAATTGTTTATTAATAATAGCCATTAACACTATACAATAGTAAGAATAAAAGAATGAAGAACAAAAATTACAAAAAAAAACTACCAACATTATCATTAAAAACAATATCGATTTGTATTATGAATGTATTTGTTTCGTGTGAAAACACAAATTTATCCAGTTCTGTTTCAAGAATAGCTTGCTATATGGAAAATTCAGTATATCGATTATTTCATCATATATTTACATAAGTATAGTGAATTATAAAGATCCAGCATTAGTCTACGAAGTTATCTGCAAAGTGCAATTCATTATTGCAAAGACATACGCTATGACAAAGAGCATTCGAGAAATGTTGTCGCCATTGCTAATTATCAGTTATGTGTGTGGTTTAAGAGTCAAATTTCCTGTAGGTGATCAAAAACAATGGTATAATTTTTTATATTTATTGCTAATATGGGTGTTTTACTATTTTATTATAATATATTCAACATCTTATACAACTCATTATTCTACTGAGTATCGTATTTGCATTGGAATACATATTTTTACGACAATGATATCACTTATTATTGGAATATATTACGATAAGGTAAGAAATATAGCAAAAAATATTTGTCTGAATACACTGTTTGACAACAAATGTGACTTTTTTTTAACTGGAACAAGACAAGTAATTTCCTGTACTTTTTATATGGATATTAAATATGAATCCGGTTTCCAAATTGCTCAATAAAGTCACAATTTTAAGAAATTCACAATCAAAATTATAAAAAACAGCTATTTTCAGGCACTTTATCATATTATAATTACAATATATAATATGCTAAAAAAGTTTTATTACAATCAAAATAAGATACGTTCTTCGAATTTTTAGGCCCGATCGCACGTTATTTTGACTTTAAGCGAAGCTTAAAAATCTCTCTTTCTTTTTTTAAAGCTAATAGAGAGACAGAAAGGAAGAGAGTTTTAAGAAAGTTTGATAAAATATAAAATATAAAACAAATTTATAACATACATATAATATAAATATTAATAATATCAATAATATCTAGAAAAAATTTCATTAACTATTATCGTACCATTTTGAAAACATTTAATTCTAAATTTATAGAATTTTACATTAAAAATTAGAGGTATAACCTTATTCTATAATTATTTTCTTTTAAATTAAGATACTTGCGTATAAGACAGCAATTAAAAAATTGTTATAATTATAAAGTAATCACTTGAGTTTGTTCTCGTAAAGTTTTATTTAAACTAATTGTACAGTTTACAAGAAATTTGTATACGTCAATGAAAAAAACTAGAATATATGTCAAATGGACAATGCGTATACACCAAATGCTTATACATCTTACAATTTTTATTTTGTTATTTTGAAAATATTTAGCAACATATAAAATTAATAATAATTATGTATAATAACATATGATATTGCAAGTAATTATCTTATTTTATTATTTTAATTGTTTTATTATGAATGAATTGTCTATAGAAAATAGCGCGAGCATCTCCTTTATATATGTTATAAGCCTCGTTTAAAATTAAAGTAACATTGGTGCAATCTCTCGGATCTAAGCTCTCAAAAGATTTTTAGTGTTTACTACGGTTATGAGATATTTATGATTAAATATGAGGTCTATTATGGAAAAGCTGTGAATTTTTTGTCATTGACGATTTACCAAACTTTTACACTATTCAATTGTGTTTAATTAAATTTAAGGATTTGTTACACCACTAAATACAAGTCCAATGTCATTGACAAATTAAAAATGATGGATTCAATATGGAGGATACCAGAATTCAAAAAGTATTCAAATTGTTTAAACAATGTATATGTCTTATAGAAGTTTTTTATAAATTTGAATTTGTCAATTTTGACTTGTAGCTTAAGAATTATCTCTGAAACCGTTTGAATTTATTTAAAGAAGCAATTTATAAAAATAATATTCATCTCTCTCTTTCTCTCTCTCATTCTCCCTCTCTCTCTCTCTCTCTCTCTCTCACACACACACACACACACACACACACACACGCACGCACGCACGCACGCACGCATGCACGCACGCACGCACGCACACGCACACGTACACGCGCACACACACAAAATCGATAAATACAATCATAATATTTATTTTCTTTACTTTATTTCTTTGCATCAGATATTTAGAAATTGCATTAAGAAACTCGTTATTGTGGATGACACATTGAAAAAACTTGGAAAAACAATAAATTATCACAAATTCAAGATGAAAATAGTATGCTTCACTTTGGGATGGTCTGTGATAATTATATTGTTAACTTATTTGGAGAGTTATACTATGAAAAGAAATAATACAGATATTTTATCACCTACAGTTATTTCTTCTATACGCAATTATAATATTTATATTCTTTGCATTGACGATTTCATAATTGTCATTATTCTTGGGTTAGTTAACATTTTTATGTAAAAAATATATATGTTTTCTAATTTATATAAAGTATATAAAGAGTATATAAAATGTCACTGACGACAAATACTTTAAAGAGGGAAGATTTGCCTACAAAACGATTGCTTACAGCTTCGTTTGCACACAGCGTATTGCATACACGACAATATTGCACACAACACGTTGCACACATGACAATACTGCACACAGCATATTGCTCAATATTGTGTGCTGTGTGCAATATTGTCGTGTGTATAATGTACTGTGTGCAATACTGTCATGTGTGCAATGTATTGTGTGCAATGTATTGTGTGCAATATTGTCGTGCTGTAGATAATCGTTTTGTAGACAAACGAAGCCCTCCCTTCTAAAGATAGATTCTTTATAATATTTTGAGGCGAAAAGTTTAATACCAAAATGTCGAAACTGTGATAGTTTTGAAATGGAAAGAGTTTAAAAATTACGAATGACGGCTAAAATTTTGCGCGCTCAGGGATAACAAGATGGTCAGTGTGCTCTTCGAACTTCATGATTTTGATAATAACAAAATATAATATCTTCACACTGACCATCTTGCCTTGAGTGCACAAAATACTGTCTCCGTCAATTCGTAATTTTTAAACTCTTTTATACTCGTTTTATACTCGTAATTTTCACTCTTACCATTTGAAAACTATCATAGCTTCGACATTTTTGTATTAGACTTTTCGTCTTAAAATAATATATAAAATTTATCTTCAAAATATTTATTGTTAACGATAGGATACCCTCTATATTTCTATAATTATATATACTTCCTAACTCTTATACATATATATATGTGTGTGTGTAGTATACAATATAGGAAGTATATTTATATATACTTCTTTATCTTTTTATTCACTAATTTACATATTTAGATATACAGGATTGAAGTTCGATCAAATTAATGAATACCTTCAGAAATTATCAGAAGATGACAAATATAGAATAAAATTAGCTTGGAAACATTCCACGTTACGTTCATATAAATCCAAATTTTCAAAAATTTCAAAAAACAAATATGTAACAAAATGTAACAAAATATGGATTATAATGTAAGAGCATTTATGTAAATTTAATTAATCACAGTTACATTGTACGATAAGATAAATATTACATTTAATAGGCATCTTCATTCGGAATTACGTAAAATATCTCGTGAAACAGACTGTATATTTGGGATACAAATGACTCTTGAAATAGGATGTTATTTTGCTTGCATAGCAACAATTTTGAAACGAATTTTCTGCTTCACATACGATAAAAATTATATAATTATAAATAACGAGATACTTTATATTACTGTACTTATAGTCTGGCTTTTTATATATATCTTCAGACTCCTTCTCATTAATTACGTATGTGAAAGAGTTAGCACCAAGGTACATCAATATTATACACAAAAAATTGTTTAAAGCATTTATTTACATGTAGAATTTAATTTCAATAATTTGCGAATTATAAATAATATATTAAGTTCTTTAACATTAATAAATTATTTTTTTTTTAATTC